GATCCTGGAGTGCTCATCCTAATGTTTTTGTTCAGACCTATTCTAAAGTAGTGTTCAGTAGTCTCTTTGCCCAATACTGTAATTTAATCCCTTCTAAACTTGATTTACAACTTGAAGCCCTTCGAAGTTTGATTGCAGCCCAGCAGTGGGAAGCAATGCCACTCTGTATCTGAACCAAAGCTGAGCAGCACAGGGGGGCTGGCTTCAGATTCGGATTCCAAAGATGGACTTTGTCCGTACAAAAGCAGTACCACCCTCGCTCACGCAGACACTACCATTGGACTTTCATTTACCACAAGCTGTTAGGAACTTCAGTTTCACTTCTTAGCAGAAAGAGGAGGCAGGCATATATTTAGACTTTGTTGGGAAGCAGCTGCAAAACGAAGTGGGAGTACGTGCACGCACTCGGTCTCACAGGCACACACGCAGATGCTGCTAGCTTTAGAGCAACTTCATAAACCTGAGCAGAAAGGACAGTGCACAAAGGCCTCCTGCAGGTTGCTGTATCATTGAAAGGACTACATGACTCATTTCAACATCTCAGTATCCTTACCATTGAAATAGGTTATTTGTTCAGTGATGTCTCATTTGGAAGTTTATCACCTTCTGAACCACCAGCTAATTTCTTGAATCATAGAATCATGGAAAAATAGGATCATAGAATAGTTTGGGTTGGAAGGGACCTTAAAGGCCATCTAATCCAACTGCCCTGCAATGAGCAGGGACATCTTCAGCTAGGTCAGGTTTCTCAGAGCCCCATCCAACCTGACCTTGAAGCATTGTAGAGGACCTAAGTCTCTACTCTCTCGCTCCTTAAACCTTATCTCCAATAGTTTTATGCCTTGCACAAGAACGCAGAGGATGCACTACCCACTTTTTATTCTGATTTGATTGGAAATTATGTCCCAAATCTATATATAAAGCAAGGAGTCCAATTCACCTAACTTCATCCATTTAGAACTTAGTCAGCCCATCTAAGATAGTTAACTTAGTCCTACAAGAAGTGTTGGAGGAGGAGCGACACTCCAGAGCATGATCCTCCCACCCTTCTTGGGGACCTGATAGCTTGGGATGTCGTGTGCCCGGAGGTGCTTCTTTCTCTGCTGGAGCCCGGGTGACTGCCTTGCACTAGATGCCAGCTGAATGGCTAACGTTGGATGAGCTGGATCCCATGCAGTGTGATAGCCAGGGGAAAGTCATGCCCCTGCTTTTCCCTCAAGGTTGCTCCTTCACAGACCTTTCCCTGTTAACTGATAGAAGACTAAAAAATCAGAGTTTGCAGCAATTTGGCTGCAAGACAGATAAAATCAGTAGTCAAACAAAAGCAGCTAAGACAGCCAAGACTGAAAAGTTAAATGCATGCACTTCTCATACAGATGAATGCGTGTAAAATAACTTTAGTTTCTCCATTCTCACAGGGCAGCCTATTAAACTTTTAGCAAATAGGTAACACAAAGATGCACAACTGCTTTTTCTTTCAGAGATCCGTAGTAGGTCAGGAGAGCAGTGAATGTCAGGCATCCCGTGTTTCTGAGCATCCATCTTCTTTTTATGCACCTGGTATAGGAGTTCTCTTTTGAAATGTAGACATTTTTGGTGCATGGCATCCACATCCGAGTTAGTTACCCTCAGCAAAGAAATGAGGACAAGTTTCTCATTCTGACAATAAAGAGGTGATACTAGACCTAATTAATCCACTGACTGTGAAGAAAGGGTAGGGAATTAGGTAAGATGTAGACGTCTGTACTGTAAACTGCTAAAGTTAAAGGTGATGTGAATCCCATCTCAGTAAACCAGTTCCCATAAAGGATGAGGCCAAGCTTCCTATGCACTCAGTAGAAAGAAGGGAGTGACTCTCAGTCTGCTTAGAGAGATACAGCGTACGGGTCTTCCTTTTGGGGGCTTTCCCTCTATGCACAACATAGAAAATGGAGGTGCTTTCAGGGAATTTCTTCACTAGATGCTTAAAATTCATTTGTTTAGATGAATTGGATCCTAACCCAAGTTTTCTGAGTCCTGGATTAACTTCCCTAACCGGAGAAATACCTTTTCTGCTAAGCTATAGGCCTTCCTTGAATAGTCATTCTATGTGGGAGTATGCTATAGTACCTACCCGTCTTCTGTAGACTGGGGTGTACTGGACGATGCTGAATGACCATGCAGATGTGCGTTGATATGTTTGTGGAAGGTCATTGTACTTGTCTGAGCACCTCGACTTCAACATCTCTCTACTCTACAGGCATCCATCCAACCCCACTTAGCTATAGATCTATCTAGATGCCGATCTAACACCTCCAAGAATGTGCCAATTAAGAAGAATCTCTTTCGACTGGGGCTGTACAGATAAGTGAAAATGGAAGCACTAGAGTTGTGATGAGTTGCAACATTCAGATAAAAAAACAAAATTAGAGAGGAAGGAAATAAACAGAATCACCCTGTTGTATATGAGAAGCGACTGTAGTAGCTTGCTCCATGCTTCATTGTGCTTAGGACTTCCATATCCCTGGGCCTTCTCAAACATGTCCTTGAAATTTTGCCTATGGAGAAAAAATTATTGACCCTAGGTGACCCTGCTTTGAGCAGGGGCTGTGACTAGAAAGTCTCCAGAGGTCCTTCCCAACCTCAGTGATGCTGTGATTCTGCAATTTTCATCATAGATTTGGGTCTTTGGACATTGAGCAGTTGGGTCAGATCCTGTCCAGACAAGCAGTTGCTCTGGGTGCTCAGGCTGCACTATGTCAGCTGTGCACATACTCGGCCATTGATCTGAGTGGTGCAACAGCTTCCACATGTCCTGGATACGCCAGGACGCCTGCATGGACGCCTGGATGCCCCATGTGGAATTTCTTACATGGAAGTATGGCAGCCCGATCAAGCTGAGCATGATGTGTTTAAAAGACTGCATGGCATAAATAAATCTTAAGGGAGGATTAGGGGGATGACAAAGCTGTGGCTTCTGATAGGGAAGCCACAGTGTTTGGGAAGATTGCAGCTGAAAAGAAGAGCCTTTGGTGACCAGATTTTTGTGTCTGTTTTTGTCTGCACTAGTTACTACTCCTTGTGTTTTAACTCCAACTACTCATTAGCTATTTAAGAATAATTTGTGTCAGTTATTTGTCACAGTGCTAAACCAGATTACCTCAAGGTTTGTCAAGCTTCCTTTGCTCTCCAATGTATGGAAAAGCATTACACTTAATTTGATTCATTTGGCCAGTGTGGACAGGGATTAGCCGTGCTATATATGGACCATAAATACTGCTCTGGTTAACACCACGGTTGAGCCAAACCTGAACCTTTCATCTCACCCTTTGCAAACTTTGGTGGTTTGGATGGAAATGGAACCTGGATTTGAACCGTGCTTTATTTTTGTTTTTGTTTTGAAAAACCAAATCCCAGTCAATGAGACTTTGGAAACACAACATCCAGCATCCTCAGGCCACCTCAGTGAACAGGGATAGAGTGCCTGTGTAGGCAAGGACTTTGCATTGGGAAGAAAGCCAATACGCAAAGGACGGAAACTGTTTCAAGGAACCTGCAGTAATTTTCCATAAAAATCTCAGGGACATAAGGACATGCTGAATTTTGTGTCATAATGCCCTCCAACCAACATGTGTGTTTGGTTAGGGAGAACATGGTGGTCCCAGGTGGCAGAAAGATGGACTTTTGTAGGCTGCATATCCAGTTGGTTTGGTGTTAGAAATGGCAGGGAAAAGCCTTCTTTTGCTTTTGACTCACAGTTTCAGTTTGCTATCTGGAATACCAAACCAGGCAGTAATGAAAACGGATTTCTCACATCAGGTTTTTTAGATGCCAGAAATAATAATAGTATGGTGTTAACACCTTGGTACTTGGCTTTCTCTAGGTTGTCTTAACCTAGATAAATCTATTAATTTGTGTCTTTGTATCCACAGCAGTTCCTTAAAATTTGCACTTAATTGCAGCAGAAGTAGTTTTAAAATCCATCTGTCTTACACCAACCATTCCTGTAGCATCTCACCACCTTCTGTATAATGTGTTCCCAATGCTAAAATAAAGATCTGTGGCATGGCATAGTAATTCCATTTATGCAGATCTTTGAGACTGTTGAAAGGCTAACATTTCCTATTTTATTTCTGGCTTCAGAATTATTCTAAAAATAGGTTCATCCTTACCATAGAGTATTTACCAACTGGGCACAGTGGGTAGACCACCTTGGACCATAGCATGGCTCTCGAAGTCTTTGCGTATTCCCCGGAGGCTGCTCTGTCATCCTAAATTGTGTATGTCGAACTCAGTCCAAGCAAGCGTGTTTCTAATGACTTTAGTGGACACTGGCACTGCTTGCAAGGTGGCATACGTGTCAAGCTGGGATTCACAGTGTCAGCAATTTCTTTCTCATTCTCTTTTGATTTTCATAACCGAAGCTGCTAAATATCTACAGGCAGGGATCCATGTCTAAGTTTAATTTTGTGAACCTTGTCATGCTTCCACACAGAAAATAAAATTATTGAAGAGTTCAAGCCACCAACTAGCTCTTGCTGTTTCTGGTGTTGACCTGTCTGTTCAAACCAGAATGCTGAAAACTGGGACCCTCTATGAAACAGGAATTAACTTTGGCTCCAGCAGCAGACGTCCAGCTCTCACATCTCCAGGGGAGATCTGAGTCAGTTAGGACATTACCATCATTCTGTGGCTGGCCAGGAAAACACAGTAAGTAATTCACCAGCTAACGCATACATATGAGACGTCAACCAGAAAAATGTTAAAGTCTGTCCGCAGGCTTTATGAAGAATGAGAGTGGAAGGATAGTCTAGATTTGTAGTGTTAAATATACCTACAGTAGGGTCTTGTCTTTGAGTATGTCTGTTCTTTTCTACTTGGACTACAGAGAGTATCACTACCAGCTAATGAAATTGTGATTTGCATCAAAAAGGCCTAGTACCACTGGAGTTATAGCAAGGAACCGTCTCTGTATGTAAGTGGACATGTGAATCAAGGCTCACAATGTGTCTTCCTTGCAGACTCAGACCCTTGCACGCCAGATGCTCCACCTGCTGCCACTTCACCACCAACCTCTGAAGAACCTGGACCTTTCACAGCTCCAGCATCACCCTCCTCTTCCTCTGACACTGGTACTGCATCATTTTCACCACCATTACCTGCCTGTGTTGCAGCCTTACACCCCAAACCACTTCCTATTCCACCGTCAACATCAGCTTCTGCTGCCACCGTTCACCCTGGAGTCCCTTCTCTCACTGCACCGCCTGCCTCTACTCCATCCCTGCACCCTGGACTTTATTTGCCGGTAGTCCCACCTGGCAGTGCCACGCACCTCATCAACTGGCTGCCCTTTCTTGCTTCTGCAACCCTTGCCACCATGCGAGGGAAGGAGGAAGACCAGCTACCCGTTAGAACGGGCTCCCTGGAAGGCATGAAATGCTGCAGCAGCACACCCCCACACTCCTCCCACGATGGAAATCCCCAGGTGGCCCCCATGGGAGACCGCGCTTCAGGGGCTGCTTCCACGCCGCCGGCTGCCCACGCCATGCCCCCGAGCTCTGAGCAGACGTCGGCAAACGTGAGCGACATCCTGGCAGAGCTGCGGACGATGAACAGCCATCTCTCCGTCATCGCCCGAGCCCTGACGCAGCTGGCATCATCGCTGGCACCGCAGCAAGATGCACGTGGCACCCCACCTCCTTAGTGCCAGGCTCTGCACTGGCTCACCTTGCTGAGTCAGTTGGAAGAGGGTTGGAAATGACCAGGGGCAGCCCATGGTGGAGGTAGGGTGGAGGAAAGGGACCCTACCCAAACCTGCCCGTAGTGTCTGTGCCAGTTCCCTGTGCTCCCTGACACCGACCTCGTCTCCCCAGTGGGTTTTTCTGCTTGTTTGTTTATTTCCTCCTTGTAAATGGCTGCATATATTAAAAAATAGTTTTGTGGTCTTGTTAATAAAATTGTTTATATTTCTTGCATTCCTTTCAGATGTGCCTGCTCCCCTTCTCTCACCCATAAACCACACGAGCGCTGGCAGGAATTGGTGAGGTCTCGCACAGTGAATGCAGAGAATCTGAAGTGGTGAGAAGTTGCCCACGACAAAACGCTCGGGGAGGTGACAAAACCCCTCTTGGCAATGTGGGGGGACACAGACAGGAAAGAACACAATAAAACTCTGAAAAAACTTCCTATTTCTCTCCATCCACTCTGCATGGCATGGCTCTGTTGAAGTTGGAGCCCTTCCCAGTGCACTAAATCTCAGGGGTAATTATAATTACCAATGCAGGTATGGGCTGTGACAAATTGTTCAAAATACAGTGCAGGTTAGTTGTCTTAAGCAGTACATGGTCTGATCAGCTACTAAACAGCGTCATCAACCACTTGTCCTCCGAGAGAGCGTGAACTGAAGGCAGTGTATCTGGTTTATTTGCCAGTGGTGCCTGGGGTTCTTCAAGCACATAAATTTACAGCAATTAGCCAGGCACACGTGGGTAGATCCCAACATTTTACCATCTTTTTCCTATTGCCAAGCTGCAGTGGCTTGCCTAAAGGTGGCATTGAAGGCGTGATACCTCGAACAATCCTCTTTGTGGGTGCGGAAAGAGCTCTTGGGTACGAATCCAGGACTTGCCCCACCGAGATGTGTGACCTGAAGAGCAGCTTATGAGGTACCCTCGGACATTGCCTGGCCTGGCAGAGGCACCAGAGCCAGGAACTGAAGGCTGGGATGACCTCAGTGCTCTGGAAGAGCCCCAGAAAAGAGGACTCGCAGCTCTGGCAAAGCCATTTTGTTCATCTCAGCCACAGTCTGCCCATAGAGCAAATCAACATCAGTCAAAAATGAGATATTTTCTCAAGGTGGCCAAGCACAGGGGCCAGCAGAGGCTGAGCCAGGCTGCCTGGCTGCTCTGTCTTACATCCCAATGAATTAAAATGAAAGAAATGCTCATGGCAAACAAGAGGAAAGAAAGGCCTCTGTGAAGTTCGGTGTGATCTTGCCTTAATTTAGCCGTGCAGCCCTCAGATATCAGGATCTGAGGCCACCTCTAGGAAAAACCCAGACAAACAGACAGATCACTAGATAAGATTAAAGAGGAAGTATTCTGTCTATTTGCAAATATTTCTGTTACAGATGAGCCTAAGCCACAAAGATTGAATGAATATACAAACTTCCCCAAAGCTCAGGTGTATTTGAATTTGAGGTTTTGGTTACTGTATATATATTTATATATAAACCTATCCATATTTTTGTGTCTGTGCCCGAAAGACAAAGCAACTGCCCTGTTCGAACATGGTTTTTTTCTAGGGTTGATCAGATTTTAATTCCCTCTGGTGTGTTTTGCAAAAAAGGTGAAAAGAAAGACATTTCATAGATGGCCTTCACTACCTTTTAGTTTTATGTGTTTCAACAAAATGAGATAAATGGAGTGTATTAGCAACATTTGGGCTTTCGATTTGGCTATTGTAGTTTCATAGACTACAAGAATAAAGAACAGTTTATCACTTTTCCTCTTTTCATTAGGAAATACAGCAAAGAAAGGGGAAAGATCTATGGTTAAAAAAAATCAAAGGAATATTTTTCATTCTTACCCATCTTCCCCTCTTTTGATTTAACATGGTAGTAAATAAACAGCATATTCTCCCACTCTTGATAGTTCTACTTGATTTATTCTGTTGTTTTCAAATAGTAACCTTTAATGGCCTAATATTGATAATATTGAGCGGAGTTGAAAGACACACAACCATATTCCTCTGCACAGATAACTTCAGAAAATCCTAGTGTGCAGTTGGTGATGCTTTATCAGCCAAGGTTAGAGCTGGCTTCATTTCGGTATCTAAAGAATTTAAGAATCATTTACATGATACGTAAATCCAGAAAAAGCCTGAAAATGTTGCCTATAGCATTAGATATTCAGCTGCGAAGGCAATGCTCTTCCTTCTCAAAGATGCCACTGGTGTGATCCAACTGGCAAGGAGGGAAAAGTGCTATTCCTGACCCTCTTCCTAAAGGAATGAGTTTTCTGTGGTCCCACAGCCAAAGATATTAGGTGCTAAACACCCCAGCAGTCTAGACTCCAAGCTGTCTGGTCCTGTGGCATCCTGACAACAAAGCAGGACCAGAGCCCGTAGCCAGAACTAGCAGCTTTCAGGTTGACTTGGTAACCGCTGCTGGCTCTCACACGGGAGCAGCGACTGGCTCCAGAGCCGACAACACAGACAGAGGCTGTCTGTGGGTAGCGTCCGGCCGAAGCGAGCACGGCAGTCCCAACCAACCTGAGCCAGCCTGAGCCTGGGCAAGGCTCTGCTGATGCTGTGGCCACAGGGTCCACTTCTGCAAATTCTCGTGCAGGGTTTGTCTGCAACCTGTGCTGAGCTTTGTGAGTAGTGCTTGAGCCAGCTGGTTAAAACCCAGCTCAGGTGTGTCTGGGCAGCCCCAGCGTGGCACGAAAGGGCTTCACTGCTATGCAAAGAGGGGTCCTGCCCACAGGCATTTCATTCAGTAAAATGCATTATTCTCTACTCAGCACATTCAATAGATTCATGTCCCTTAGGAATTATTTTACTCCTTCAACTTAATTGAACCACTTTAGCACAGCAAGAAACGAGTGGCTGCTCTGACTGCATCTCTTCAATGGCAAGAAGGCTGCCTCTGTCTCAGGTTTTGTTTGCTCTCCTTGGCTTTCATCTGCAACCATCCAAATTTTGCTTGGCGCTACCAGCCCCG